ACTGTCCAAATGATGTATAAACGTTTTCCTGCTCTGCCACTTGAGTATGTATTCAAAGATATAACAGCTCCGAAAGCTTTATATTAAGCTCTCGCATAGATAACCTCAAATCACTTGCCAATTAATCTAGATTCAAGCATGATACGTTGTCAGTCCGCTCCTGTTGCTTACAACAGACCAAGATAAATGATGAAATTGATTGAGTTAAATCAACAGATTCACTTGACTAAACGTTGAATGTGATGTAAGGGTACATTCGCTGAATAGATAATCTAACAGTATTTGCATACCCAACGATTGGTCTTTCTGCTCACCTAGCCTGATGAAGGGCGGCAGAAGAGAATTATTTAATTGTCGAAATAGTTGAAGTGAAAAACACAATTCACAATATAAAGAGAATCGTACGGTAGTATTTTTGGAGTAGTACAGTATTGAAAGTCGTCAAATGCCAAATGAGAAGATTCAACATGAAGTAACCGAAAAACGATCAATTTTTTGGGAAAACTCATAAAAACTATTTTTGGAATGCTCAAATATCTTCACTTTAATTTTTATGGAAGTCTCTACAATCAAAACTAACCAAGCGGTTCATCTTTATTTTTCGACGACATAAAATGTGGAAATCACCGCCTAATAACCACACCAGTTGAAAATAATCATTACCACTTTACAATTCACTTTATATATGTACATGTGATACGCTCTAAAAGTTTGATAGAATGAAAGTACTTAGTTTTTAAAAGAGTTTGCTTTCAAAATTATCGTCAACTGGACTGTTAATAGTCTTCAACCAAAAGATTTGTTATGCTAGTTGAAAATTCCCACTCACAGACACACTCCTTGAAAAAGAAGCACCATTTGTAATAGCCAATGCCAACTACCACATAATCATAAAACTTTAGATGCCATACCGTTCAAGTTCAGACATAATTTATACGATGAGTCAAACAGAAGAAGAGATTAGGTCCAAATAAACGAAGACAAGTTATTAAACATAATATCACATAAGAGCCCTCTTGAAGATGTTCACTTGGCAATCGAAACATGTTTCGAGTTGTTAAAGTAACGGTTTGGTGTTGGGAAAAACTACAGTAATATTTATTACTACACCAAAGGTTCCAAACAGTGCATCACAAGAACAAATTTCATCTTTTAGTACTTGGGTATCCAAAAACTCTTTATTGTTAATATTTAGATGAAACTTTTTTATTTATCCGCAAAATTACATTTTTCTTGTACGAAAAAACTTCTAGTATTAATAGAGTTGATGCTCATTCATCGTCTACTCCACACAACCTTATTTTCCAGCAAATAGCCAAAAACGACTCTCCTCGATAGAAAGACTGAACAAATTATCTCTGGTTTGGATTCCTGGCCATACTGGCCTGTGAGGTAATGAAACTGCTGACCTGTAATTGGCGTTGCTTTAACGTTTGCCAAACAAACATTGAACACCTAGATGGTAAGTAGAAGATTTATCTTATAGGAATGGATCACTCCAAAGCGTTCATTAGCCTTAAGAAGCTTGAAACCAAACATTTGTTGGACTACAGTAGATATGAACTACAATGTCTAACAGGTCTTCTTACAGGTCACTTTCATTTGAATCACATATACAGAGACTCGGACTGTCGTAAGACAGTGTGTGTCGCCTCCGTTTGGAAAATAATGAAACAGCAGAGCACATACTTTGTGCCTGCCCCGCTGGCACAAATATTTATCAAAATCTTCCGAACTGATCAGAAATCATCTCAGTGACTTCATGAGTCTCACATCAATAATCACCAATAATTAAAAATCTATCAGTGGTTGAGAATTTAATTTGGACCGCACTGTACATGATCATGAAAAAAAGCACGAAAATAAAAGTCTGGTCATGATTTCAACTTGGGAAATGAGTATCATTGAACTATTGTGAAAATGTACTCTTCATATCATACATAATTTCATAAACGCTATAAAGATAAATGTAAGTGAACCGTTACATCGATATTACTGATAAATGCGCCAAATGAAAATAATTAATCAATAATGTCATACCTGGAATGTTTCGAAATCATGGTCGGTTGAACACATTCATATTGTTAGGAAACCTCAACGTCGGTTTTACTTGAGAGAAACAAATGAACCAAGAAATCATACACAGCAATAACAAATGAAGTAGCTTTGAGGAAGTAATAAAATCAATACCGCCGATAGTCATTAGTCAAAATTGGCAGATTTTGCAATCTAAAAATATGAATTTACAGCGAACTCAACACGTTCGCGACAACTCACGAAAATATTAGGTCGTATGGCCCAGAAATGGAACCTTGAGGGATGCTCTGTTAGGGTTGTTATATTTGGCTGCTAGCAATTTGGATTTTCAAAATTTGTATTGATTTTTTTTCTAGAAAAATTTTCTTTGGGATATAAAAAATGATTCTGCATAAATGTTTCCATCCCAAAACATATCTTTCGCCAAATTTTTTAAAACTCAAGCTGATACCAGCTAATGAGTGCGGAAATAATATGGTGATTTACTCCACCCATACCACTCTTTTGAAAGAATGGAATGGCAAATAGCATTGCAGTTACTCAGGGCACATGATCAACTATGAAGTACCTAAATATTACTGGAGTTTTTTCCCAACACCAAACCGTTATTTTAACACCTCGAGACAAGAGGAAGATCAAACAGTTCAATTTCTGAGGTTGCAGTCACCTTACAAACTACCAACACTGACATAAAAACTTGTCAAGTTGACTTGGGTGTCACACCAATAGGTGGTTCTACTTATGTTTCGCTTGCGTTTACGCATCTATTTTTATCAAATATTTTTCTGTTTTTTCACATTTTGTCTTCAATCGAGGACCGCCTGCCCGGTACTGACGATGCCCAATAGGCTGAAACAGCTGACTATCGGGTGCTCTTAAATTGAAATCAATATGGGAATGATCAGAAAGTACTCATGTATTCATATTTTGATTTTCATGGAATTATTTTCTTATATAGAGGGCTAAAATTCGTTTCTGTACATGGGGATCTCGTAAACGATAAGAGATAGAGTGTCGGTTAAATTGGCAAAACATGAATTATTCCATTTAATTCAACAGTTTTTGTAGAGAGACTTTCAATTTCCCATAAAATCATCAAAGACAACTGTCATGAGGAACCAAATAAAAATGAAAGTAAAATTTATTTTCCTGATATGACACCAAAATTATTTTCTGAAACATTTAAGGTTAGTCAAAACTTTCATCATTTCATGTAATTCAACTAGTTTTTGAAAAGAGATTTTTAATTTTTTATAAAATTAGCCAGTAGTCGTCAAAGACAAACCAAATCGAAATAAATCGTCTCTGAATTGTGCTAATATTTATTTTTCTGATATCATGGAAGCATAATTAGTTCCTGAAAAGTCAAAGTTCACCCTAAATAACGTAGTTTTTTCTTCAGATTTCCTTCATTTATTTCGCTAAAAAATTTCACATACGATTTTGATATAATAGCTTTAACTGGAACCTGGAAAATTGAAAGTTTATTTCAATTGAACCTATACCTGGATATAACAACGGAGGTCTAAACCAAAATGATGGTTATCATAAAAACGGAAATTAATGGAAAGAAGTTGAAATCATCACAATTTATAGATCACCATCAACTTGCCCGTTTGAGTTCAATGATCCATTAAACTCCTTCCTCTACCATAAAAACCAACAACAAAAAGATTTCGAAATAATTGTAGGCGATATCAATATAGACATTTAGACTACGTTACGGAGTATCTAAACGTCATGAGAGAACACGGTTGTATGCCAGCAATAAACGAGTACACCAGAACACAAAATAATTCAAAAGACTTGCTTCGACCACATATTTTTAAAAACAAAACTGCACCATGAAGCAATCCATCCAATCATTATACATACATGTATCTCTGACCATTTTCCCATCGCGATACAATTAGAATACATAAAATCCTCCCAACCTGAAACTGAAGACAGAACAGTTCAGCACAAATATTATTTAAACGAGAAAAAGATATGCTCTATGAACTAAAGGAAGAATTTTGGCAAATAGTATACTCAGATACTATTTGCTGCTAAAGATCAATAATATACAGGGTGTTCCATTTAAAATAAGGAAGATTCTTCAAAATTTCATATACAATATATGGCAAGCGGTTTTTCATACCCTGTATATCACAGGTAGATTTCAGACATATTTTTTGAGAGAGTTACCAATGTGGAATATTTGAAAAAAAAAATATTCAATTGGACTTGGCACAACTTTATAATTTCAAATATTCTGAGTGACGAATATTGGAAAAAAAACCTGTCATGCTAGATATCTCGAAAACCGTCAATATTTTCGAAGTGAAGATATACATAAAGAGTCTTTTATTTTCTATGTAGAAACCGAAAAAGCAATATAAAATATAGGTTGCTATTTAAATAAACACACCCTGTGTGACCGCCAATATTTTTATTTTGTCGAGCTCGTGCAATGAGGTAACATTATAGAAATTTAGATTCCTATCTGTTTCCTAAATTGAGGAATGGGACACCACGCCACTGTTGCAGGACCCTGTATATATATCTGGACTTTCATTATATTTAATATTATTTTTTCAACTTTATTATTACATTTTATAGATCAGACTCATGTTTTAGTAGCATACCCATGCACAAGGTTCACCATTTATCAGTTTTCTATTTTATTTGCTATTATTGTTAGTCACTCTGTTGTACATCTAAATATTATGAGTAAATGATTATTATCATCTGGATTCTCAAACCTTCAAGAAAACGCAGTTGCCATCATCAGGAAATAATTACAACTAATCCACCGAAACAAACAAATATCACCTTCTCGGATGTAACGAGCTATAAAAATATAAATCTCACAAATTCGGTTCGATAAATTATACAAGTAGATAAAAATTTCAATTATCCCTTTATCTCAATCCCGCAGTTGAAATTAATACATTAATAATGATAAAATGCTCTCTAGATATAGCTGTGAATTTTTCGAACCTAGTCGAACCTATACTCGGGCTAACCAAGGCGAGTACCCTTATAAATTATTCCATTTAATTTATTAACCGCAGCAGGCCACTGAAAATCGAATTACTAGACAGGCTGTTACCTCGTTTGGGAAACTTCACACCGCATCTGACAGGAGACAGGGAAGATGCTGCAACTAACGTCCTTTGGGCAAACCCAGTCCTTGCGGCAGACTCCCATTGGTCCAGAGGCACATCCTCACAGTCGGTAGCCGTTATCCTGCCACTGTAATCCTCCAGGACGAGAAGGAGTAGGGGGAAATGTACATACTACTCCGAGTACGCTTTCTTCTGACGTTACTTCAGTTTGGCGCTCGCTTTGCTGGCGATTATACGCGTTGATCTCTGTTTCTATTACATAAAATCGGAGATGCATCTGAGATAAGTTGGAGATTCGTTGGATTTTTTGTGTTTTGTGTGTGTAGTGACATAACTGTTTCGAGTTACCATGGAAGGTGTTTTGAGGATCTTGGTACTCGCTGTTTTTTTGGTTGTCTTCGTCGAGAGCAGGAATAAATCGCCTTTGCTTGACGACGACCATGCTATCTCCAGGAATAAGGCAGCAGGTGGGTGATAGATTTCATATTTTTCAGTTGACAACACGTGATTTTACATGACAACGCATCAAGTTTGTTAAATATGTCGATTAATTTCAAAACCTCGACATTTACAACAATTTTCAATTGAAAAACTGTTTTACTCTCAACAAAATGCTCAAGAGTTTTTTTCAACCATTTCTTCATTTACTGCATATTTTGCCTCACATGATAGTCCGGGATATGTTTATTGATTGATTATAAAGATGATTATACAGCGCGATTTGAACATTTTTGCGAAATCGACATATACGTACTAAATTAATTTGATGAAATTATCGAGTGTCATCAGTTTTGACAAGCAATGTTGTTACCAGAATGAAAATAAATATATGTCAAGCTATCGACATAAAATGTAGTTTTTGTCTTCGTCAGGAGTATTCCTATTTAAAACCCGCCTCACGTAATTGAAGAGAAAAATTATAATATATGAAGGTTCAAATATTCCTGACATAGTAATCATTATAAAACTGACAACAATTTGTTTTATACGGCTGATTACCTAAAAACAGCTCTGAATGGATTTTCCAGAAAAAAAATATCTCGTTACTAATTACTCAGGTAAATCAGTTAAATTATTTAGAATTCCTATGAAGTCATAAGTTCCAATTATATTTAATTATATACTCATGAATATTATGATTCATTTTGTTACATATATCGACTGCAAATGATGAAAATCTATCATTCATTTCATAAATTACACTCGTCAAAATGAAAGCACGATTGAAATATTCGTATTTTTAAAAAGTGGAAAAAGATCTCGAGAATGTTGGTTAATCATACTAGGTTCCTCCTCATAAATTTTGCTAACACTTGGCTGAATTTCAAAAGTTTTTTCCTATTTCGACGAGAAATTAATCTTCTGATTTGTAAATTTTTTTTCAAAAAAGTTTTACTTAGGCGTAATTTGCGATAAAGCAAAATGTTATGCGAAATATCAGGAATATTGTCGTACTACTACCAGTATGGAAATATTCAAGTAAAGATAATAATAATAAAAATGTTTTTATTGAACGGTTACTCAGTACAGGAGACTAACTAACCTAACTTAACAAATGGTAGAATTCAACATCGGCACATGATAAATTAAGACAGAAATTACTGTTCCATCCAACCAGTAACACCTAACGCATATTAATACAAAATATTTTGAATAAAACTTGAATAAAAAGAGGGAGAAAAGTACGAAAGAACAGCGAAAAACGAATAGATGAGAATTGAATTCCTTTCATATGGAAAGTCATGTCATAAACAGTAAAAAAATTTATTATGATTATATAACGGTAATGTTGCTATTTTCTACATATTTACGGTAAATGAATATCAAGTATAGGTATCAACTAATCAATATTATAATAAAGATAAGCGGATTGAAACTTATATCTCTTCAGATTTTTTTTAAAACCTAGTGGTAGTAATGATTTCAATTCGATGGGTAGCTGATTATATAAGCGTGCAATGTTATATGTATAGGTGCAGTCAAAATATGTTAATTCTTACCATTCATGCCTGAATCTGGCACTTTTTTCTGTTATTACAAAGGAAAATTGTATAATTTTTAAAATATAAAGTAAAATGCCATTATTCGTTCTCTATTATAATTAAATTTTAAAGTGAAAATACAATTGAATATGTTTCTCATTTGTTTCCTCAGTCCTCGTATAATATAATGTTCTCCGCGTTATATTTCAAAAAATCCACGATAACAACATAATAAATATTATTGTTTATAATGTTGAATTTGCAGACCTCTACTCGAATTACTGATGCGCTCATATCGGAACAAATGAAAAGTTGCCTCTCATTTCCAAGGCGCAATCTCTCAATGGTCCACCTTTGACATGTCGACATGGCCAATTTACATAGATTTCGTTTAAATTAATGTATTATGCCATTCACGAAATACCGCTTTATATCATCAATGAATTTTGGTACTTTTAACATATTGCTCAATTTATCATTCTTTATCGATTTGACATACTAAATTCACACAATCGTTATGCTAATTTTTGCATTATATACACTTTTTCTCGCTCCTTTGTCGCAAATCTTCTCTTCGTCGGCGGTGATGTCACGTAAGGCTGCAGGCACTCATTCAAATCGAGGTCTCCACTCGTGGCATAAGGATGGTACTTCCATCATCAAATTTTGTCCGTTGACAATGATACCACTCGGGAGCTAAAAAACTCTTAGCAGTTATTCAATGTCCGACGTGGTATCAGCCTGCACACTAAGTGTATGGTATATTTTCGGTGGTAGGTAAGTATGTGATTTCTTTATAAAAACTTTCAAATACGAAAGATATAAGTTAAATTGGTTTTGGATAAAATTGGCTTTATGCCATGTTAACTACTGAAGAATTACGTAACCCTGAAAAGGGTCAAAATTAAGAAAAAATTGACCAAAAAGGAGATTCCTAAATATGGGATTCTTCTAGGTATTGTTTTAGGGCCCTGATGATAACGAATTATAAATATTCATATGAAGAAATTATAATCCAAAGTGTTAATATTTAGGAGTGTACCTCGTGAAGTCCTGACTCTTTATCAAACATTGATTCAATCACATGGCACACAAATAACCATTGAAAGATTAAAAATTATCCAAAAATGTATACTGAGAATAATATTAGGTAAACATTTCAAATACCCCGCAGGAATATTAGTGAGCGAAGCAAATCTGTTTGATGCTAGGCAACAATATTGTTTCGCATTTTTAACTAATAATTTTTGACACCAAGAGACTGAAGTGGCAGTACGCCACTAGCATAAAAATATCTAGCACCCTAATACAGATAATTCACTTCTATTTGCGTTTAATATTGTACCAAGTGCTTCTAAACAATATCTTAACCATTTGAATAGGGATTTCGGTTACTACCAGGCAGAATATTTTAATTTATCATAACATATCAGCCATTGAAACACGTTTCCTACACATCAAAAGTTAACACTATCAAGAGTTTTAGTCATCTGATGATGATTCCAACTTAGTTAGCAAAACGCCTTTCTATTCATTTTTTGCCGGAAGTTTCAATTCTACCTATCAGATATCGTCTCAGGAAGACGAAACAAAAGGATTTTGTTATGATCCTTGATTAGACAAATAATATGTCACATGTAATACTTCTTATCTATATACGAGTATAATATTTATGCGGCTTGTGAATGTCTTCATTTTATTTTACAACTTTCATTATCTGTTAAATGTAATATTCTGGTATATTACTATTATTATTTGTTATTGTTTCCCATCGACGATTTTCGGTTTTAATGTACTTTCGATAAACATTTCCAGAGATCAAAGAACCTTGACGATATAATGTAATACCATTAGACTCGAATTTTGTGGGTCATTTGCTGAAACTCGATAAAAATATCTTACGACTTCTTATAAAACGTGTGATGTCCAAGGTATAAATCACCAAAAATTAGTCATATGTTTTTAAAAATACCGAACCAACACAGACCGTTCTGATTTATAGATATTTTTTTCGTGTCTGTGATGTTTATTTCGATCCAGCAAATTTAATCGGTCACAAACTTTCTTTGAATTGTCAACATATCTCATATAATCGACACGGGTGGATGAAGTTAAAAGGATCGGCAATTTTGGATGTCAAGTGAAAAAGAGTCACATTATGGAATATTGTGGGGAATTCCAGATGGCCACCTTCATTTCAATTCTAGCCATAATACCAGCCCTTTTCAGTACCTGACCCTAATCTTCACCCTTTACAACTTGACCTCTATCAGTATGGCTCACTTAATTCATTTAGTCAACAGATTAAGATTTTCTAGTATTAATGAAGTATTTTTCACGTGTTAACGAGCAATCATTTAGCTAAAGATACTTTTTTTATAATATATGAGAAAATTTTATTTTTAAACCAAATATTATTAAAAATCCATTTAAATTTGGGAATCCAAATCATTGAATTTTAATCCAGTTAATATGACCTATTCAATAAAAATTTTCCTGAACTTCGATACTTCAAATTGTAAAATATTTTATAGATAACTATTTGGACAGTAACTGTCTTTTGTAGTTGTTTAGAAAAACTTGCATTGATTTAAAAATCGTTACATTCCATCAGTCGACTCAAAAAAGATTTTTTTTCTGTCTTCTTAGATAATATGATATTTCACAACCTGAAAAACGTAATTAGAAAATCTGAGTAGATGCTGCAATTTGTTGTATTCTGGAATTGGTTCAACAAAATATCCAAAATTGATAAAAACAACTAGTATAAATGAAGCGATGGCATTAAAAAAATCATAAAAACCTTGTTTCGGCTTTCCGATGGACGTGAAAAAAATTTAAGTGTAATTTAATATCCATAGAAAAGAAAGAAGTTGTTTTAGGTCGATTATTTTCTACTTTTTTGTATATGAACAAATATATATTCAATCTACATGTTTACTTGGAAAGTTGGTTAGTGTTTGTGTATCCATGAGACAAAAGAAATATTTCAACATTATTAAAGAAAATATTTCACTTTCTCTCATAATATTTTCCAGAAAATGATTGCTCGATGATGATTTAATTTTTTTTCAGATTGTTAAATAATAAAACCAGCCAAACTATTTATTCTCCACAGAAAAAACCTTCACAAACTTTTCTTCAATAACAATGTATATGTTTAAATTAAGTGATTTTCAAACAGATGCTTTTCCAAATAATGCTTTTTCCACGTGCCTCATAATACCACTTAATACCTCTGAAATTTCAATAATTATACTTATATGAGGGTATAGATTTGATGATGTTGATAAAAAAACAATTCATATTACTTAGATAATTTGTAATAAATAGAAATATGTCCAATAACACTAGAGTTTTTATTATTATTTGTTGGCAATAAAGCGAAAAGTCAAGGCATGGAAGTGATGGTTTATTTTTATTTATTTAGTTTATTGCCAAACTTCGAAAATTTTGCTTAGCTATTCCTTAGAATAGGAATGATG